TTAGGCCGGCCTACCGCCCAATTCTAACGCGTGGCGCGCGAGATGTGCGCATAGCAATATCGATCGCCGGGCGGTCACATCTTGCCACGCGCTTGAATTGGGCGGTAGGCCGGCCTAAGACAATGATTTTTAATAATTAATTACTCGTTAACTATTACGAAAATTGCAAAATGGTACAGGACTTTTCCATTCATCTCGATCCGTTCTACCTTCTCAAAAATTTTGTCGGATATGGAAAGACTCACCCTGTATATCTCTCTCGCAGGAATTTGACGAAAAATGGCGGATACTAACCTTATCGGTGATATGGCCAGACCACAGACTTCTATTATTCTGTGGGCCAGACTCTGATTAGAGGGTCTCTAGGATACGAAAGTGCGTTCGCTTACCGGCGAAAGGAGGTTGCTTCCTCTCGATTTCTTTCAGGGGGTCAATTCTGTATCTTACACTACAGCGAAAATGCTAAAAGCGAATAGCTTTGTCTCATTCTAACCGTCCCTTTAAAAAGAGACCAAGTCGCTCACTTTTAGCATTTCCACTATATCGTAAGATACAGAATTGACCTCCAGAACGCAGACGACATCTGATTTGTTTTCTATCCTCGATTGGGAGATGATTCAATTGGCGTCATTGGTGACTTCTGGCCTCACCTCGAATGCGTCTTTGTCTAACGAATCGTATTCGAATGTACGCATTACTTTTTCCGAAATGTTACGCTATTAGCCAACGCAAACTGGCGTATTATGAAATAACCGAAACTTAAATGTGACTTCTTAAAAGTCCTCGTAGGTTAACGTTAGTTTCTCCGATTAACATTCGCGGCAAGAATTGAACAATCCAACAATAAAATTTTAGCTCTATATTTCTCTAAAGAAGCATGGTACAAAATATAAGACAGAATAAACTAGCTTCCAGAGAGAAAATTTTTGACATTTTAAGATGTTACTTGGAACATTTTCAAACATTTTCGAGGTTAAATGAATTTGTTTTACCGTGGAACGTTATCGATCTGACTTTTCAATACATTGTTTTTATCGCGAAGAAATGTATTAAGAAATTGGCATTAACCTTACCTGATATTTAAGGTCATTCCTATCTTGTTGGCTGAATGGTTACGCTTTGAACTTGACGAGTTTTTGCGTCATGAATCTACTGATGTTAAATGAACCCTCGATGCAATTTTGTTCAAATCATTAATATTTTTCTTGCAGATGGCGTATGTACACATAGAGGAAAGTCCCCTATTATGAGATAGGCTCGTAATATGAGATAGCGGGGTTTCTGTTAAATAGGCATCATCTGTTGATTCCACCATGAGTTTATTGCCCTTGAGGCAAAACCTGTTTAGTGGAAAATTCATTATTAGATCGTGTAATAGCTGCGAGAAAAAAATTTGTGAATTTGGACGTTGAAAACCTACTATCTCACATCAGAATCCTATCTCATAATAGAGGACTTTCCTCTACATTTTGCAAAACATCACCTTCGTATTTAATTATCAATTCATTAACCTCAATAATTGTCGTGTTGCGGTTTTATAATTGTTCGGTGCGTGAATTTATTATCTTATATTTTATTTTTGGTTGATATTTTACTCTACTGCACGCGTATCTGTTTGATTGCCAAAATTTCATGTCAACAGAATTAAACCCTCAATTTTACGCGCGACATTTCACACGACGATCGAATAATTCTTCAACGATTCTTCTCGAATATTTTCCAACTTTCGACAAATATTCGTCTTGTTATCACTAATCTTTTTCCTTATTCTACGGTGTTGATAAGAGGGGCTGGTTCAGTAATACACAAATCTAACTTTATTCACATTTTTTTTGTCATTTTTTTTCCGCTGAATCATCGAGAAAATGATCTTGAGAGAACAGAAACCTCTGCGATACGAATAGCAATTACAGGTAAATATGTACAATAATATATAATAAGTGATGGTTGCCCTTCCTTCCTTCTCTTCGTCTTCTTCTTCTTCTTCTTCTTCTTCAACAGTCGTCTCACCTCGCTCAACGACAATCAACCAATCAGTATTTTAACCGTAATAAATCGCGCAAGACTCAATCTAATCCCTCCCGCGCATCCATCCCCGCCTTAAGCATTAATTACCATCGATCATCGAATATCGCGACAGTATCGACGAATTGACAGAAATGCTTCCCTAATTCGAGTCGTCAACCTTCAAATTGCCAACCGCACTTTCCTCATTTCGGAATCATTGCGCAAAATTCGCACACAATCAATCGCGTTGCAAAATGTTCAAGCATTCGTCCGCGTGAGAATATCTCCTCTTTCCTCTCTGCTTTCGTCGATTGAATTTTCTTCCCGTTCAGATTTTACAGTCTCTAGCGGTCGGAACGCAAACATTTTGCATCGCTCTCGATATTCGTCTCGTCTCAAACTTCACATTTTGCGACCGTTGCGTTGCACTTTGATGATTTTACCTCGCTTCATTTAGCCTCCGATTTTTTTTCATAAAATTCAAAATGTCTTTCTCACTCTCTCTCTTTCTCGCAGGTCTTAGATATATCTCATCACCGTACATTCACACACTCGCATTCCTTTAAATAGTACTTTATAACGTTATATTCATCTGTTTCTTTCAAATCTCTCTCTTTGTATCTCCTTACTTCTCTCCCGCGTTCATTCTCTCATTCACTCTTTCATTCGACTCCGATTGTTCGCGATTCGTGTAAAGTGAAATGGATTACTTGTGCATATCTCTCTCTCTCTCCCCCCCTTCTCTCTCTCTCTCCCTCACTCACTCACTCACTCACTCTCACATACACGCACACGCACATTCAGAATTTTGTTTTCTCGTACTTACAGAAAAATTAAGTCTAGGCTAAATCAAGTTATTTGAATTGGATTAAAGTTTAAGTAAAGTAAATTATGAAGCGACATGTGTCTGCCGAGTTGTTCAAAATACGCGTTTGACCTTCCTTTAATGAATTACAATATTACGCATTTAATATTTGCGCATTTGTATCTTCAATATTTCATAATTATTTTCGATAGGTCCATTTTACTCTTTTCTTTTAACCAATTTTATCTCTTCGTTATTATTAAACGCAATTATGAAATTGTACTTTCTTTGTAATTTAAAGAAGCGAAAAAAATCCTTCGATCTACCAGTAATCTTTTCATTAATAGAGATTAGAAGACAAGAATATTTTAGTTATTT